AGATTCATAATTGAGTCTCAACTCTTGAAATTGTCTTGGGCACGCGAGGGATGCAAAGGCTTTAACTTCAAAGAACGTGTCCTAGTTGAATTTAGTTCTTTCTAGATATTAATCTGTCGGAAAAATAAGTCGAAAATTAAGGTCAGGAATATGACACGCGCGGATACATATGTGCAGCGGCGTTTAAAGAGTTATACCCGCGCAGAAATCGCAGTTAGCAATCTACACAATTATATTCCGCATGTGCCAGTACAGGTATGCCAAATAATCGATACTGTTATGTACGTGTATAAACAATCGCGAGATCGATAGAGAGCATAGACACCTCACTGACGTCAATTTTGGATCTAACATTTCTACTCTTACGCGAACGAGAGTGTGCAGTCCGTGCCGGAAGTTCGCGATCGCGAACGCAAGATCTCATCTTCGATTAACCCTCCAAGCATCGAGAGGAAGAGAACAAATACCATTCTCTTTCTTTCTAAAGCGCTTCACGGTTGTAAATCTATTGAAACGATAGAGCGATTTCGAACTATCGCCGTTCTCGATTCAACTAGCGTCCATTGTCAAACTTAAAAATATCTGATTATCTAATCCTTGAAATATAAAAGGAAAGATGAAGCGTAAAGCGTCCGTTGCTTGAACATTTCTAAACAACCCCGCAAGGGCACTTTGCCGATAATCAAGGGAATTAATTGGCTATTAAAGATCGCTCGTTGAATTTGATGTAATAAAACCTCGAGAGAATCTTGGTCGTTTCGCACCGGACAATTTTGTCCGCGCATCGACAAGGAGTTAGCTTATCGCGCTTAGCACCTTGGAGATTAATTAAACCGCATTCTCGTGACTTCCGCTCCTTCGATTACGCTAACGAGAACGCGGCTCCGCTCTCGTGCTGGAAGCTCGCGAGATTTCGGTCTCGTTCTACATGTCGGGAACAACGCGCGCGCGGTGAAAGGAAGCACCGTCTCCTCGCGACTCGATCGACGGCTTCGAAACATCCGTTATTACGCCCGCACGCAGCAATTCGGACGGCGCGCCGGCGGAATATCCTCGGAAGTGATTTCCGGCCGAAGACGCCCCGTTATCGTCGCCCCCCCCCCCCGTGATGCTTTGTCCCACGCGCGTCAATTACGTTTCTCAGAAATTAAAGTTGTCCGCGTACGCCGGCGACTCGACGCGCAAAATTCCCACGACGGTGTCTCGAGCGATTCGTCGCTTTCGACCTAAGGTATATCTGTGGGACGAAAGTATGTGAGACAAAACAATATATTTAATATAGTCTGATAAAATTATTTCGCCCTCAGTTGTTCCTAACACGGTACTCTATTCCGCTAAGATGCGGTTCTTTTGTAACAAGGTAGACCTATAATTATTTTGCGATACTGTGCAATGCCTGTATACCTCTCACGTAATTTATATGTAAATACTCTTAGATCCCACTTGATAAGAACCTAAACCGAAGGTCGAAACGTTGCGAGAGCTAATTTAATAAATGTGGCCAGCTGAGGTCGATTGCAATTTGAAATGTTATTATTAATGCTGGCAATCTGAAGAAACGTAGGTACTTGAAAATTATTCCCGCGTCTAAATGAGAAGAAATCGATCTTCTTCCGCCCGCAAACTTCGAGTTCACGACAGGGGCGAGTGATTTCTAGTACTTTGAGAATTTAATTTACTCCAAATTACGTGCTCCGAATTTCTTCGAGAACCATTGGACGAGATACGCGTGTATTACAATCTTAATTGAGAAACTATCCGCTCTGAATTTCTTCGAGAACCATTGAACGATTAAATATACGAGTATTACAATTTTAATTAAGAAACTATCGGCCCTGAATTTCTTCGAGGATCATTAAACGATCAAATATACGAGTATTACAATTTTAATTGAGAAATTGTCCGCTCTGAATTTCTTCGAAGATCATTGAACGACAAAATATGTCCGCGTATGGTATAATTTTAATTAAGAAATTATCCGCACCCGAGGGGGAACCGCTGAGGGCGCTGTGGTGAACAGATTTGCGGCATTATTGGGCATTAAGCCTTGCCGGGGCCCTAAAAAGATAAAACAAGATAAATAAGATAATAAGATAAAGTAATACCCACTGGGCATTAGCGGGCATCGGTGTACAAGATTTT